GGCCGGTCTGAGGTTAGAAAAGATACAACTTGGAGCCCACACGGACGGTGACCTTGGGGGATAAACGGACCCGGTTTAGAAATCTATCACTTCCTCACGCCGTGTGGTGCTGAAATGACGAATGTTCGCCGGCTGGTGGCCCGCCAGCCATCAGAGTCGCGGCAGACAGATGGCCCTGTCCGTCTGCATTAGCACCGATAAGCCGTTTAATTTAATTTTAAAACGACTGTCGGTTGCTTAAAAGAGCAAGAGGAATAACAAACGAGGCCTCTCGTCTTATTTATCCCCGAGCAGTTAACGGTGAGACTTACCAAGGTTGTCAGTTTAATTAACTTGGGCGTCGGGGAAGCAGCTCTTATCAACAGGAGGCGGCGGACGCCTCAGGCCCGCGGACGCCTCAGGCGGCCTCTCTGGGCGGCGCTGGGGGCTCTTTGGGTTTGGGGGCTCACTCCCCAGCAGCTCTCACATCCCAGCTCCCAGCGGCTTCCCCGGCCCCATGCACTCAGGGCATCGGGGGCCAGGAGCCTGGGCCGCAGGGAATGGAACCCGCCCGGGTGCTCCAAGCGTTCTGACCCTTTGGGCCCGTTCCTCTGAGTGGTCAGGTCGTCTCGGCCAGCTCAGAGGCCTCGGCACCTCCCAGGCCCAGTTCCGGCGGCCTCTCAGGAGAAGACAGAAACGAAGACCCCTGCTCCCCACGCAGTCACTCCCCTCCCGGAGCACAGGACAGCACGGCTCGGACGCCTCCACCCGCACCGGCAGCCTCCGCGGGGTCCGTGGACGTGGGTGAGGAAACTCAATCCTCCTGGTCACTGACCCCGGGGAAAGATCAGGATTGAGAGACCGATGACGGGTCTGAGGGAGGAGTTCTCCCGGCTGTGACCGTGCCCCCAACTTCCTGGGTGTGCACCCCACCTTGACACATGGGCCTGTGTGCTATTTATTTATTTATTTTTTATCCTCACCCGAGTACATTTTTCCATTTTTTGTTCAGATAGAGTGGGAAGGGGAAAGAGAGAGAGAGAGAAACATCGACGTGAAGGGACACATCGAGTGGCTGCCACCCGCACGACCAACCAGGGCCGGGGACAAACTGCAACCGAGGTACATGCCCTTAGCGGGAACCGAACCCGGGTCTCTCTGGACCGCAGGCCGACGGTCTAACCGCTGAGCCAAACCGGCCAGGGCTGGGCCGCAACCCTTTAGACCCTTTGGTGACAAAGGCCTAGCGGGTGTTTCTCGGGACACTTCCGGGTGCAGAGTAGCCCTTCCTCCGTGATGGCCGCGCTCGGCCCTCTATGAAGTCATGTCATCCGCAGACTTCTAGGCAAAGCTTTGCAGAGGCCTCCAGTCCCCTGACCCAGGGGGTCCGGCATCCCCCCAGCTTCGGGCTGGGGGCCCTGCACAGGGTTGGGGCCCCACCAGTGTGCTCAGAACACTCCTGTCGAACACGTGAGCGAGTGACGGGCCAGGCAAGTTGCTGCTGAGAGAGACCCCGGGGTAAGGCCTCTGGCGGGGTGGGTGGGTGGGCAGGCCCAGCACCCAATTTGAGGGGTCTTGTTCCCTGGTGACCAGGGGTCTCAGATAGGAGAGGTGCCAATGGGATGCTAGGTCTCACGCCCCTGCAGCTGGCCTGGGGTTGGGCGGAGGTGAGGCCCAGATGCCGTGACCTCGTCACCCTCCTCTCACCCCGTCCCCCACGTCCTCGCTGACTGTGCTGGGCAAGGGCTCAGCCCATCACAGGCACCCCTCCCTCTCCGCGCCTGGGGTTGGGCCAGGGACTCCAGGACAGCGTGGTACCAGCACCGGAGGGGCTTCAGGCCCCGGACCCCCTCGTCCTGGGCCCTCTTGGAGGTCAGCCCTCCCTCCGGGCCCAGGGACAGCTGCATCTGGGCGTCTCTGGATTCTCAGGGCGCTCGTCCTTTGTTGGGTCCCCGGCCAGGGGCTGCACCAGGTGTTCAGGGCTACCCTGCCCCTGCCCCTCTCCTGGGGACCCCACTCCCTGGGCCGAATCCCAGCACCGCTGTCCCACAGTGTCCACTCACCGGACAGTCTGAGCCGACAAGGAAGGTGTAGTCATAAATGTTTTTATTAGACAAAATAAATTTCTGGTGCACGTGACCCCCCCCCCCAAGAGCGAAAGAGAGGCCCTGCTTTCCATCTGGGGCATCTGCTCATTAACAGCCTCTCCCGGGCCCCCGTGATCCGTTTATCACCGATGAAGCGTTTGAAACGGACGATGTGGATTTTCCTGCATCGGCCGATTTATGATCGGATTAATGAGAGAGCGGTCTGGGTGTTAGGTCTCATTAATTCTGTTTGCCTGTATCCTGCCATTTAAATGCGACTGTTGTGAAGGGAAGGAAGAAAAAGTCCGAGGCAGCAGGGCAGAGGGAAGGAACGGATCCCAGTGTGACCCCTGCCTCGGGCCGAGCGTGCTCTCAACACGAGCAAAGGAGGAAAACAGATGCCTTCAGGCAACAGAGGGCTCAGGGTCCGTGGCCTCTGCACCGCCCAGGGTGGTGCTGGGAGTCCTGAGCCCCGGATGGTGGGGACGGGCGTCGATGGACGTATGTGGCACCATGAAGGGCAAAGACCTGTGAGCTCGCCCAGCATGGGGCACACCTGGGGTGCGGGCAGGGATCCGGACCAGCGGGGATGTCCCACCGGCTCTGACCAAGTGTCCATCACAAAACTGCGCGGGGACCACGTCTGCAGCGCCACCATGAGGCTGAGAGCTGCAACTCGGCGAGTGTCCCTGCGCTGCTGACCTTGGGGGCGCTCTTCCCATTGACTTGCCTCCAGAATTCCTGCTGCAGAAAGTCTAAGCCTCAGGAGGGCTTCCCTGCTCACGAGGCAGCAAGGAACGAAGGGGGTGATTGGCCAAATGAGAGCACCCCGTGACGGTGAGCCGTGACAAAGGCCGTTCTGTTCCCTCCTGGTTATGTGGGACGAAGACCCTCACGCCAGGACCCTGCAGACAGCGCCTCCACGGGGGGGTGGGGGTCGCCCGTCCCATGGCCCGTGGACCCCGCTCAGTGACACCCAGGCCCCACCTCCGCCCTCAGCAGTCCCCGTGTTGGCAGGAGCTGGGGATCAGTGGCTTGCAGACACGGCACGCACCCCACGTGGAGGCAGCGGGAAGTTGGCTGAGATGCTGAGACGTGTTTCCCCAGATGGCAGGTTTCCCGTGAGGTCCTGTGGGGACGGCCACCAGCCGGCTTCGACGTGACCGTCAATTTGCGTAGCGAGTCGCAATGCCAGCGAGTGCAGGCAGTGAGCCGCGGTGTCTCCCGTGTGCACGGTGCATGCCCGGGACGACGCGTGTCCTCACTCCGCCCAGGAACTGTGGATTCGTGTGGACCCGGGGCCAGTCCCTGGCCAGCAGCTGACTTTTGAGGCCTCAGTCACCACCCACTTTCTGTCTCTGCCGTCGTTCTGAACTTCGGGGACGATCTGGATGAGAGAGAGGAGCTTTGGGGGACGTGGGTTGGAGCTGGCAGAACTCTCCTCTGCGAAGGAAGAAAGTGGGCAGCTTGGGGCTTCTCCCAGCAGCAGGAACCCCAGGGAGACGTGGAGCAGGGGCTCTGTGGGGTGGGTGTCCGTGGACAGGGCACCCGGGAGGGACAGATGCCACGAGTCCGGGATGGAGGACGGTGACTTGCAGAACTGTTTGTCCCCGGGCACGAGAACCAGGGACGCAGACACACACCGCACGGGTCTCCCGCTTTTGCTCTGAGCTTCAGGAAAACCCCCCTGGGACCTGGGATCCTGGGCAGTACCAGGAGCGGCCTGTCCTCTCCCTGAGACACCGCCGAGGTAAGGATGGCGGCTCCTTCCCTGGAAGGACAGCTGGGCTCTCAGAAGACCCGGCCGCCTGGCTGCGGCGAGGTGGCAGTGGGGGCTCGGCCCGGCTCGAGGCCTGTTGTCCAGAAGGCCGCCGGCCTGTCCGGGCCCCGCTGTAAGAAAGGGGAGACGCCGGCGTCCCTGGAGTCCACCGCTCTGCCCTGCGAGACCCTCTGTGCGGGAGGAGCAGGGAGTTTGCGTTGGGGAAGCTTGGCACCCACCTGCCACGGGCTCCCCTGCGGGGAGCCGACCGGCCCTGGGCCTGGGGCCCTGGACACCTGAGGCTCCACAGTCAGGCAGGAGCGAGCCTGGCCCGGGTGCAAGGGGCAGGGACAGTCTCTGCCCTGGAGTCCAGCGGTTTTCACGGCAGTCGTGAGGGGCTGTCTTGTCCCCGAGGCCCCAGGACAGCCCTGTGTGTGTGTTGGGGGGTCCTCTTCTCAGCTCCGCCCTGGAGCCCCAAATTGGCTGCATGGACAATACATGAACAGGTGGGTGTGGCCATGTGCCGATAAAACTTTATTTATAAAAACAGGCCAGGGCTGCGGGTCCTCACTGGCTGACCCCTGCCTTCGAGCAACAAGGGGGGGACGCCTGGCCTGGGCGGGGTGCTGGGACAGGGACCCTGCCCCGGACCACCGCCAGCTCTGGCCCCGGTGGACCAGACGAGGGTCTGTGTGGGCCAATCCGCTCGTCGGATGGACGTGGTCAGGTCTTTGGACCCGGCGGCTGGGGTCATCTCCCTCTCAGCCCCAGAGGCTGTGCTCTGCTTGTTCCTGGGGTCTGACCGGGCGACCAGGGAGGCGGGCAGGCAGCCAGGGCCAGCCGGCCGCCCTGCAGTTCACGGAGATTCTGCGGGGATGGACGGGGCGTCCACATGCTGAGGAGGTGCCGTCCGGGCCTGGACAGGAAACCGTGGAAAAGGCACGTGGCTCAGACCTGGGGCAGCCGGCGACGGGGGTCCGAGCTCCCTGCATCGCCTCCAGCTCTCAGGGGCCCAGTGTGCCGGTCAAGACCCGCCGACCGACCAGCAGCCCAGGAGAGGGCCCAGGCTGAGGCGGCGTGGGCCCGGCCGGCCTCTGGCTCCAGCAGGAGGGGCGGGAAGGGCCGTCGCCTCCCCCCGGCCTCCAGGTCCGCGTTTCCGGCAGGGAGGCGGGCCAGGGGTCAGTGCTGTCCGTGCTTGACCCAGTTTCTGATGGCCCACTTCTGTCCGGAGCAGCGCTGCATCACCAGCCGCAGCCCGAAGTTGGCGTCTTTGAACATCTCCACCTCCAGGCAGCGGCCCGTGTCCCGGCTCACGATGGGGCCGCTCTGCAAGGCAGGGACACTGGGTCACCCGGGCGCCTGGGGCCGTCCTCAGAGCATCCTCGGAGTGAGGGCCGCCCCACGTGGTCGTCGTGGCCACGAGACTCGGGGTCTGCGGCCACCACGCTTCTCTTTCCCCCTCGGCACCCCCTCAACCCGCCCACCCACCTGCCCAGCTCCCGGGGTCTGAGGAGTGACCGGACAAGGCGTCCAAGGGCATTTCCCAGCAGCCCCCTCGCTCCTGGCCCATCCGATTTGTCTGTGGTCAGCCCTGGGCACGGAGGGCCCTGGCCGCACCCGAGGACCCCAGGGTCATGTCCGCAGTCACCCCTGGGCACAGAGGGCCCTGGCCGCACCTGAGGACCCCAGGGTCATGTCCGCGGTCACCCCTGGGCATGGAGGGCCCTGGCCATACCCGAGGCCCCCAGGGTCATGTCTGTAGTCACCCCTGGGCACGGAGGGCCCTGGCCGCACCCGAGAACCCCAGTCATGTCCGCGGTCACCCCTGGGCACGGAGGGCCCTGGCCGCACCCGAGGACCCCAGGGTCATGTCCGCGGTCACCCCTGGGCACGGAGGGCCCTGGCCGCACCCGAGGACCCCAGGGTCATGTCCACAGTCACCCCTGGGCACAGAGGGCCCTGGCCGCACCCGAGGACCCCAGGGTCATGTCCACAGTCACCCCTGGGCACGGAGGGCCCTGGCCGCACCCGAGGACCCCAGGGTCATGTCCACAGTCACCCCTGGGCACGGAGGGCCCTGGCCGCACTGTCCTGGCCCCAGGGCTGCCTCTTGGACCCCGGCCCTCGTTGGCTCCTCCCTGCGGCCCCCTGACCCCGGAGCCCAGACAGTGCCCTGTGCTCATCCGTCACGGGCGTGCTCAGCAGTGACTCCCGGATGACGGATCACATCTGCTGCCCGGACGGGAGCTCGGCGCTGGTGCAGTGGTTGAGGACACAGGTGCAGACCCCTGGGGCTCAGGGCTGCACCAGGGGTGGAGCCCAGTCTCCCACAGGGCAGGGCGAGGACCCCGGGCAGGGAGCAGCAGGCCGTGCAGAGGGGCCCTGGGAGGGGCCAACCTCACGTCCTGCCCCCTTTCCAGGGTGCGGGGTCCACCCACTCGGGGGGTGTGCTGTGCGGGCTCACGTCCAGGGCGGAAGGCCTGGTGAGGATGGTTGGAGCACCAGGAAGGGGCTGTGAGGGGCCAGGGTCTGACCCACCAGTCAGGAGGCCACCTTTGAACTCGTCAGCTCATATGTCTGTTCTTGGGGCTCAGGATTTGAACCCAGTAGCCCCCCAAGGGCCAGGAGGGGCTGATTCCAGCAGAGCCAAGGAATCAGTCGGGCGCCCCCCCCCCCCCCGGCCTGCAGCCAGGAGAGGGCTTCCCAGGGCAGGCAGACCCTCTTCTTCCCCCTGCACGGCCTGGTCAGGAGGCTGGAGGAACTGAGAGTGTGGGCCCCCTCCTGGTGGGAGGCAGCGGCTGAAGGGTTGTGATCGGGCAGCCGGCCCCTCGCTGGCTGTGACCCTGGGCCAGTCACCTGACGTCCGTCCGTGCGAGGGGTCGCGTGGAAGCCGCTGCTCCGGCCCTCGCCGCCCACAGCTCCCCCCAGGGCCCCAGGGTCCCGTGCCGACCTGGGTGAAGTCCCACAGGCGCTGTGCCGGCCGGGCCACGTCCTCACACTTCTTCAGGGCGGGCGTGCGGGCCCCGTCATCCACCAGGCACTTGGAGTCGGGCAGGAAGGCCGTGGAGCCCAGGGGCCCCAGCTGCAGCAGGCCCTCGGCGCTGTACCGCACCAGCTGCGAGGCCGGGCAGGCGTCTCAGGTGCCAGCCTCGCGGCCGGGCCGCCCAGCGGGCTGCCCCCGTCCGCGCCCACTGCCCCGTGGCGGGACGGCGCTCCTACCTGGGACGACATCCCGTGGCAGGGATAGAGGATGGCGCGGTCATCGTCCTCCGCTCCCTGGTCCAAGCAGTAGCCGCTGGCTTTGCTGTTTCTCACCTGTGACCGGAAGCCAGAGGAGAAGCCCGTGGCGGAGGTGCCAAGGCCCGGCGAGGCTCGAGGGGTCCCCCACCTGTCCCCTCACAGGGCAGAGGGGCTCCGCAGCCACTGTCCCAGGAGAGTGAGACCCTGCACCCACGGACGGGAGACCCACGTGGAGGGATCTGCCCTGGGCGGGGGAGGGGCGTGTCCTCTGGCCAGTGGGCTCGCTGGGGACAGGCTGGCAGGCTCCTTGGTCAAGAGGACCGTCTGGTCACTGGGGGAGACACGGACGTGCCCCCCAATGAGCATGGAGACCCGTCCACCCCACACGAGTGACTGGCTCTCAGGGACGAGTCCGTGCGTGTTGCTGTCTGACGTTCACGACCCCACACACAGGCACAGGAGGGTGGGCTGGAGGGTCAGGTGGGCGGGCTTTCCAGGCAGAGGCGGTACCTCTCCGTACGTGAGGGTGTCGTTGTAGGTCCTCATCTCGGGGTACACGTTCTCTAGGTACCACTGGAAGCTGCGGCATTTCAGCCTCTGGCGCAGGGCCAGCCGCTCGGACACGTCTCCGAAGTCCACGCCCGGGTTCTGCAAGGGGGGAGCGAGGCAGGAAAGGGTGAGTGGGGGGCCTCATGACCCAGGCCCCTGCAGTGATGGGGGGCCCCAAGCTTCCCTTCCTAGAGGAGGTGGGCCTGAGAACCCCGTTACAGGACCCTCGGTGTGCCCTGGCTGTGCCCCTCATTAGCGTCCTGGGTGACTGGACCTCTCCGTCCGTGCCTCAGTTTCCCCTCAGGCTCGCTACGCATGCTCATTGCTGCTACGTATCACTGTGGCCTCGATGCCGAACTCCCTGGGAGAGGCTTCTGTGTAGAAGGGGGCGCAGTGTCCCCCTGGGGGAGCGCCCACCCCGGGCCCCCCGGGCCCACACTGCCAGGCTCAGCGGACCGGGGTGACCAGCAGAGCGCGGGAGGGGGTTCGCCTGAGGAGAGCTTGCTAGTTAGCTGAACGGCTGTTAGAAAAGGGCTGTCACTGTGGAGGTGACATTCCAGACACCGTCCTCACCGGGACGTCCAGGGCCTGGCTGCCCCCCCCCATGCCCCGCCCGGCAGCTCACGGTCATGGGGATGTTCCAGGCCATGTACACGTGGGATTTGAAGCCGTCCATCCACACCTCGGCCGCCCGGAGGGCGTTGCGCTTGGCGTAGTAGTCGATGTCGTTGTTGTAGGGCTTCCTAGCGCGCTCGATGTGCGCCACGCGGGAGCAGGGCAGCACCTCCATGCTGCCCCCACACTGCCACACCTGCCGAGCGAGACGCCTGCTGCCCTGCGTGGCCTCCCCGGGCCCCTCCCTCCAGTGGCATCGACCCTCGTCCGAGGCCGAGCCACCTGCTCAGGCAGGCAGGAGGCTGGCAGGTGAGGGGCTCACCCTGCGGGACGGCCTTGCCCCGGGGGCTGCTGGGGCCTGGGACGTGTCCTCACCTCATCAGGCAGACCGACCATTTGTGACTAGAACAAGCCCTTCCTGAAAGCAGACTTCAGTCCTCTCCCACCCTCCCTGCTGCCCCACGGGGACCCGCCTGGGGACACTCACGTGCCCTCTGAGATCTGACGGCAGGACCTTTCTCCCCGAATGGGGACCCCTAAGTGGGGACTTGGGGCTGCGAGGGCACTCCTCCCGAGCTCCCTCTGTGGGAACGACACCCTTCTTTGCCTGTGCGAAGCCCCTCGGGAGGGGGAGCCCCGGCCTCAGAGGCCCGGGGGAAGGCAGCATTGCCCTCGGTGATGGGAAGGTTTTCCCGTGGCCCCAGGGAGGCAGTGAGCCTGAGGGTTTTGAAACGGAGAAGCAAAGGGTTTCCCGTTTCTGCGCCACAGTCGGCTTTCGAGCCAGGACGCTCGTCACTCGGCTTCGTCTTGACCGTTATTAGCCTGGCCGACACGATGGATTCATTTCCCCCTAATTGGCTCTAGGACTTTCCTCATTAGGAGACGAGCAGTTGGCATTTCTGTAATCAGAGAAATGACACTGGTCCCGAGACCACAGAGTGGCTCCTCTAATTGGGGTGCGTCGATCAGAGGGGCTGTGCAGCTTCCGGGACCCTGTGCACAGCTGGGGCCCGGAAGGCCCGAGGAAGGGAGGGGAGGCTGGGCTGCACCCTGTGGACACCACGTGGGGCCGGCAGCCAGAGGCCTCAGAGAGGCAGTGGGGTGGCCTTGGGGCTGGGCAAATGCATGGACCCCGATTCCAAGCTTCCTGGGAGCACCTGTCCTGAGGTGCCCACAGCCAGTCTCTGCCCACTGCCCCTTAGGATAAGGCTGGGTGGTCCCCTGGGCTGCAGTTCAAGGTCAGACGGGCCTTTTGAATGTGAACCAATGCCAGGCTTCCTTGGCAGCTGTGAACCGATTTACATCCACATCTGCACCCATTCCCAAATAATCCACACCTGCACCTGCACCCACACACCTGCACCTGCACCCACACCCCTGCACCTGCACCCACACCCCTGCACCCGCACCCCTGCACCTGCACTCACACCCCTGCACCCGCACCCACACCCCTGCACCCACACCCCTGCACCTGCACCCACACCCCTGCACCTGCACCCACACACCTGCACCTGCACCCACACACCTGCACCTGCACCCACACCCCTGCACCTGCACCCACACACCTGCACCTGCACCCACACCCCTGCACCTGCGCCCACACCCCTGCACCCGCGCCCCCACACCTGCACCCGCACCCCTGCACCTGCACCTACACCCACACCCCTGCACCTGCACCCACACCCCTGCACCTGCACCCACACACCTGCACCTGCACCCACACGCCTGCACCTGCGCCCACACCCCTGCACCTGCGCCCACACCCCTGCACCTGCACCCACACGCCTGCACCTGCGCCCACACCCCTGCACCTGCGCCCACACACCTGCACCTGCACCTACACACCTGCACCTGCACCCACACACCTGTACCTGCACCTACACCCACACACCTGTAACTGCACTCACACCTGCACCCACACCCCTGCACCTGCACCCACACACCTGCACCTGCACCCACACACCTGCACCTACATCTGCATCACCTCAGCAGGCTCCTCGCAGGGTCTGAGGGGGGTCTTGCAAAAGACCAGGTGCTGTAACCATGGGGCAGTCCCTGGCCTTAGTCTCCACCTTGCAGAGTGGGTTCTGGGCCCGTGCTGGACAGAGGAAAGTCAGCATTTGGAAGAATTTGCCAGATTCACCTCCTGACTCCACTTCTAGGGTTGATTCTAAATTTGTGATTTAAACCCGGACCATGTCAGAGAACCGAAGACAGTTGCAAACAGCCCTGCAACGCTTCCAAGGACCTGAGATTCGCAGACGTTTGACTGTCAGACACACGAGAATGTCTCATGCACTTGGGGGGATTTCTGCTATGACAGCAGGCAACAAAAATGCTTCAAGAGAAAAGAAAAAACGTTGATGAGCGTCATGTGAAAAGGTTCAGGGGAATCTGACTTCAGGCAGAAATGGGACCGATGATTTAGTGGCGTTAATTAATTAATTAGCCCGTGCCACCAAGTCCGTCAGACGCAGAGCGCGACTCTGATAGACTTATAACCATAAAGACGTGATCTCTAGGTTCACCCTCAACGTCCCAGGAAGCGGGTTGCGAAATGGGCCACTTCAGCCCACTGTGTATAAATGTTAAAACCTTGCCTCAAATACTCTTTTCCGTGAGTAAAGGCCCCAAACAAAAATCAAAACCAAGTCATGAAGGGCGTTCCCAGCGGGGCTGCAGTGGGACCTCCGTTTGGGGCCCAGGGACAGGGAGCTCCTCTGCGCTGGGCTTCCTGATCGGTGACCAGGATTCTTCCAGAACTTTCCATCAGTTCTGCAGTCAGGGGTAGGAGGTTCGAAACCAGGAGCTTCAAGGATGGAGGCGGGGTGGGGAGGAGGGCCCGAGGCACGCATGTCGGTCACCCGGGCCAGCCCTGCCTCCCCCAGGGGTGCCCAGAGCCAGTGTGGTGCCATCCTGTGGGCCCAGCACCGAGCTGCCCCCACTTCCCCGCCCAGGGAGACTCGGGTGCCCCAAACCCCCAACTGCACCCCAGCCTCCCACATCCAGACACACACACAAACAGTTTGGGGACGGCTCTCCTCACGGACGCTCAAACACCCAGGGCCAAAGGAACAAGCTTCTAGAACCCTGACCATCCCAGCACCCCAGTGAAATCCAGCAAAAATGAACGGCTCGAAAGAGTAAAAGAAACAAGAAAATACAATCTTTTGTGTCCGGCCGGTGTGGCTCAGTGGTTGAGCATCGACCCTGCACCAGGAGGTCGTTGGTTCGATTCCCGGTCAGGGCACAGCCCAGGTTGTGGGCCCCATCCCTGTGGGGGGCGTGAGGGAGGTGGCCAATCGATGTTCTCTCTCATCGATGTTTCCATCTCTCTCTCCCTCTCCCTCTCTCTCTAAAATCAAGGAAGGAAAAAAAAAATTTGAAAAAACAATCTTTCGTTATATTCGACAGATGTGGTGCTCTGCGGCCCCGATGCCATCGAGCTCCTACGCTGACTCTCAGTTTGGGGCCTCACGCCCCCCCCCCCCCCCGGCCAGAACAAGCAGCCCGACTCCCCCAGGCCGGCCCACACTCCTTCTCCAGGGTCACTCACCCTCATGCCCAGCTCGATGTTCTCGCCACCGTACACCTCCATGCCCGGGTCCAGGAGGCCGATGTCCCCGAAATACTCCCGGTCCACCACGAAGGAGCAGCCGATCATGGCAGGCGTCCTGTGGGAAGCGGAGAGTGTGTGAGCGGGTCCAGGGGCCGTCGGGGGTGAGCACAGCCCGGGCCAGAGATGAGGGAAAGAAAAGAGAAGGAAAAATGTCAAGAAATAAGCACAGTCTGTGTTTTGTGGGCAAGCAGGGCCTTCCCAGCTTTTGGTGGAAGATTTTGCTTCAACACCGAGAGAATTCCTCTGCAGCCCGAGGGCGGAGTTTCTTCCCCTCTCTGGGACTGGCAGCCCCCAAAGGCCCCCACAGCCACAGCGCGGAGATGAAGCCGGAGACGGCTCCCTCCTTCCTGCTCCTGCGCCTGCTGCTCTGGGACATGAAATTCGTCTCCAATGAAATCAACAGAGAGAAACTGGCCCCAATCACAAGGTAAAAGAAACACTGCTCCCCCCAGGGGCTGGGAGGTCGGGGCAAGTGCTCATCAGTTTTCCAAGAAAACGGGCATTAAAAGAGCGATCACCCTGCCCTGGCCGGCGTGGCTCAGGGACAGAGCATCAGCCCTCAGACCAATGAGTCGCAGGTTCGATGCCGGCCAAGGGCATGTATCTCGGACCTGAGACGGCTGACAGCAAGCACAGGACGGGGTGGGGTACAGCTCGCCAACGCTCAGCAGGTGTTTCTGGCGTTGACTTCACAACTAAAAAAGAGAAAACTCAAGGTGATCTCTGACGGATGGAGCTGCCAGATTCCCAGCCAAACCCATCGTTGCTGCTAATGGTTTCGGTGTTGCTCCGAGTTCCAAGATGAACGTAGAACAAGCTCCCCAGGAGCGGGGGGCTGTCAGCTGACACAGAATTTATTGGTGTGAGAAGTCCAGCGGCTGAGGGTCTCAGGGTCCGAGGGGGCGTCCTGCCACCCTGGGGGGCTCCCCCACATGGGGGCAGATCTGCGCACGTTGGCGGCCGAGGGCCCTCAGCTGGACTCCTGTCTCGTAGCGGCCGAGACGGGCGTGCAGGCGCCGATGCAGGACGTGGACCACGGGTACCGTCCTCGCACGGAGATCACCCACCGCGGAAACCATTCGAAAGGCGTTTGCACGAAGCTGTCACTACCGGCCATGTAGCGGCAGCTTTCTCCTTGTACGTTAGCACTCTTGTCTGTCTGTCTCTCTGTCCTCCTCTCCCCGCCTGACCTTGTCCACACCCAGGTCACAAGTCAGAGCCAGCTCCCAGGTCCCTCCTCAGCACAGGCTGCGTCTGCATCCCCAGCCCTGCCCCAGGGCCCAGGGGCGGCTCACCTGATGGGCGCGGCCTCGTCCCCGCGGTCCAGCCAGTCCTGGGGCGGGACGATGTACATGCACCAGAGCCCCCAGTTGTAGCCGTGGGCCGCGCTGGCGTACTGCTGCACCTCGAACGTGTCGAACTTGATGTTGTCAATGGCGGGTAGCACAATGCGCCGGCGGTCCTCCCGGATCCGCGTGAGGGCGGGCTCGGCCCTGCGGGGGACGCACCTCAGAAGGGGCCTGTGTACCCCAGCAGGGAGCCCAGAGCCAGGCGGCCCTGTGGAGCATGGTCCCAGGGACCCCTGCTGCACTTGCGTGAGTCTCGCCTGCCCGGGGCAGCGCACACGTGTGGCCGATGGACATAGGTATACAAGCCCCGGGGGCCGATCTGTGACACCTCCGGAGGGCGGTCCTAGCCCAGAGCTCCCGGGGCTCAGCCAAGGGGTCACCGGGCCCCTCCCTCCCCCCACCCCACTGCCTGCCCTCCCGCCCTGCACCTGGGCAGGTGCATCCATTCACACCAACCGAGGGCCGACTATGGGCCGCACTCTGTTCTGACAAGTCAAAATACATGTGTGAACCAAAAAAATAAAGATAACCCACACCTCAGGGAGCGTAGACTGTGTCTGAGGGACAAGAAGGTGAGCGGGCGGCAGGGGACAAAGAAATGGGGGCCAGGAGGGGGACTCTCCTGGCACCTGCTGTGACAGAACCAGCCCGTCAGACAAACTTGTGTCCTGGGGTGGCGGAGGCCCCCAAAAGAGACGGAGGTCGATGCAGCAGCTGCGCCAGTCCTGGGCGTATTTCCCCGGTCTGTTTACTGTCACCTGCTGGAATTACGGGGTAATCCCCACTTCTTTGGGGTTAAGGTGGGGGGTACAGCTCAATCCTCACAGGGATGTGCCCTGAGGTCTGGCCCCTAATCAATGGTTTCTGGGCTCAAGGTGGAGAAGCCCTGGACCCAGAGGCCCCTCGCCTGCAAAGACCCTGCAGGCCGGTCCGTCCGAGGGCTATGCATCCCCGTCCGGAACGGCGCGGGCAGACGCACTCGGAGTCTGTCCGTGGGCCCCTGCCCTTACCAGCCGGTGCTGAACTCCACGTGGGCATCGAAGAAGCCGACGACGGGGGCCGTGGCCACCTTCCAGCCCTGCAGCCGGGCCCGGATCAAGCCTTCGCGCCGACTGTTCCGCACGATCTTCACCAGACCCGGGTACCTCTTGTTGACATACTGGTCCAGGTTGAACTTGAGCTCCACTGTGGGGGAGACACAGGGACATCTCGGCACCCTGACATCCTGGGAGGGGCCGAGGTCATAAGACCCGAAGTCGTGTGGAAGGTTGGGGTGCTGTGTGCCCCGATCCACATTCCATAAACATGTGACCCACAGCGGCTGGACATGACCCAAGGTGTTGGGGAGACTGCACAGAGACAGACCTGCCCCTGTGAGGCTGGTGCCCGAGGGAGACACAGACCAAGACACCAGCAAGCCCAGGGCAGGCGAGGGTTATGAAGACGGGAGGAAACGGGACTGAATTATTCAGCCGTTAAGGAAACGGTGTCCATGAGTGTGGTCCTTCCACACGACAGAACGCCACTCAGCCTTAAAAAGAAGGGAATGCGCCCTGGCCGGTTTGGCTCAGCGGTTAGAGCGTTGGCCTGTGGTCCCGAGAGACCCAGGTTCAGTTCCCACTAAGGGCGCGTACCTCGGTTGCAGTTTGTCCCCGGCCCTGGTTGGTCGTGCGGGTGGCAGCCACTCGATGTGTCCCTTTCACGTCGATGTTTCTCTCTCTCTCTCTCTCTGTTCCTCTCTCTCCCTCCCACTCTACCTGAACAAAAAATGGAAAAATGTCCTCAGGTGAGGATAAATACCAAAAAAAAAATAAAGAAGAAGAAGAAGGAAATGCTGGCACCTGTTACACCTTGAGGGCGCCATGCTCGGGGACATGGCCAGACACAAAAGGACAACTATTGCAGGAGTCCACTCATAGGAGGGACGTCCAGGGGTCAGGTCCATAGGCGGAAAGCAGACGGTGGGTGCCAGGGGCTGGGGGAGGGGGAGTCAGTGTCGAATGGGGACAGAGCTTCAGGCTGGGGAGATGGAACGTTCTGGAGATGGACGGTGGTGAGGGTTGCCCCGTCCTCACCCTGACCTCAGACTCTGCCTCCGGGATGCCGACACGCTTCCCCTTCTGGGGGAGCCGGGCTGGCCCCACTCACCGTTATCACTGTTGTCGTCCACCAGGATGACCTCCTTGAGGACCTGGGAGGGCGTGTGGTTGACCACGCTGTGGACAGAGCGCAGGATGACGGACAGAGCCTCGTTGACAAAGATGAACACCACGGAGATCTGCGGCAGGTCGTCCGCGTAGGTCATCAGCCGGCACCTGGGGGAGGCACCGCGTGGGGGCTGTGTCGGGGCCGGATGGGACGGGAGGGGGAGCCTGGTGTCCCCGCAGGAGGCCAGCTCCATGACAGAGGGGTGGCAGTACCATAAACGGGAAACAGCCGAACCCAGAGAGAGGGTGCGATCACACTGGCCTCAGAGCCGTGGACATCTGCGCTCTGAGCCTGAGCCCACTGACTCCCCACTGAAAGGCAGTCGAGTCCCGTGGGTACCACACCGAGACTGTTCCCCAGTGCCCTTGGGAGACACAGAGAAGGTGACACATCACGGTGATCAGCCCAGGCTCCAGTGGAGGGGACAGGGAACCCAGCCTGGAGCCCACATCAGCTCTGTCTGTGCCCGGACAGGCAGCACCTGCTGGCCCCACACACAGCAGGCGTGTCCCCGAACGGGTGGGCTGCGGGGACGGCGACTACCCAGGAGGCCACTGGACCAGACCGGCGTCGCCAGGGAAGCCTTGCTGGTAGGAACCACAAGCACAAACGGCCTTGGCCAGTCTAAGAACTGGGTGAAAGAGAGGAAGCTCCCCAGCTGAAGTCGGGGGCCCAGTGTGACCTTGAAGGACCGGCAATGGCGGTAGTCACTGTCCCATGGACACCGGCACAGGCGCCCAGCCCTGAGGGCTCACGCCTCAGCAAGATGCGTTCTGACAAGAAGTCGTCACTGTATTTCTCTGTCGAGGAAAAAAGTTGCAACGCACAACTTTCCTGAACTTGCAAAATGTGTGAAACAGAAAAATAAGACCCTCGAGGAAGAAAATACGTCTCAGGCAGAGGTGTGGGAGGGGCCTGGAAGGGTGAGTCTGCGCATCCTCCCGGCCCTGCCAGAGGGCATCAAGCCACCCGAGTGTCCTGCGCCCCCTCTCACCGAGCTGTTCATCCTCACACGTCCTCATACGGTTTCTCTGTCCCCTCAGAACGCCTGCCCTCTCACTGCCGTACCCCAGAACCTGGAGCTCTGCCTGCCGACCGTAGGGTCACAGCGTAAAAAATGACATAAATGCAGCTGGAGCTGCCGTCCCAGAGGAACAGCCTGGCACGTCTTAGGCCTCAAACCTTCAGATGTTAAAACAAGACAAAGTGCCCTTTGCACGGGGCCTGGAGCAACATTGTGTCCCAAAGAGCCGTTTGCAAAGATACAAGAAAGTAGACGGTGTAACTACAGACCCAGACCTTCCAGACTGGAAATTAAAAACTGTTCAGAATCAGCTGTCACTATGTCACCTTATCTGCACCCAGAGCAATGCCTTCCTGCTGCGGACATCATTGTCCCATCCCTTTCTCATCAAGGCTCATCATCTCCGTCTCCTCATCGCAACACTACCCGGACTTCTGCCTGAATCGCTGTGACCCTACGGTGGGCAGGCAGAGCTATAGGTTCTGGAGTACGGCAGTGAGGGGGCAGGCCCTCGGGGCTTGCGTTCTGGGGGGACACAGGACACTCGGGTGGCTTGAGGCCATCCGGCAGGGGCCGTGAGGATGGCAAGACGCTTGTTGCCTCTCACTCTGACCTTTAGCATCGAGAAGCATTTGCTGAGTGGATGAGAGAACAAGCGAGTGAACACGCACTCACGGGCCGACTGCTGCCGTGCTCTCGATCACCTCCCCATCGGCTCAACCTGCGCTGTCCCTGGCACGGCAGACACTCGCCACGCATTGTCCCCTGCGGAGAAGGCTGGTCAGCTCTGGGGGCCCTGGGGCTCCTGCCCCTCTTCTCTCCATGATCGGATAGGAGGCCAGGGGACCTCTTGGGACCCGTTCTCTCTCCCTGCGTCGAGAAGTCACCAGCACTCGGTGGCTATTTTGCGAGGACCTTCTATGCATGGGACACTGTTCCGGGGGCTGCAGGGCCTTGCTGTACAGGACAGATGGGGCATCTCACGCCTCCATTTGTGGGGGGCACAGAGTAGAAGCAAGTCAGCGAGCCACGCGGTGTCAGCGCGGGTGAGGGGTTGTAGCAGATCCAAGGCGGTGATGGGGAGAGCGCCTCGGGCATCGTTAGATGAGGCAGCTGGGGAGAAGCCACGAGGAGCCGGCTGTGGGTTTGGACCTGCTGGGGTGGCCGTAACAAATGCCCAGAGCAGGTGATGCAGACAGCAACAGTCCTGGAGGCTGGGTGTCCAGATTCGGGTGTGGGCCGGGCTGGTTCCCCCGAGGCTCCCTCTTCCGCACGTAGACGGCCCTCTGCTCCGTGTTCCCATGGGGTCGTCCCTGTGTGTGTCTGTGTCCTGATCTCCTCTCAGAAGGACCCTGCTCCTATGCGACAGGGCTCCCCCTAGTGACCCCAGTGTCCTCATGTCTCCTTAGAGGCCCATCCCCAATACAGCCCATCCTGAGGTCTGAGATTGGGGATTCAACATGTGGATTTTGGGGAGTCCCAATCCAGCTCAAACAAAACCCAAAGGATGAGGAGAAACCAGACATGCGAGGACTGGGGGATGAGGAACCCGTGGGGGGGGGCTGTCCCAGCATGACGGGGACCTGAGGAAGCACGCGGCAGGGGAGCCGGGCGCTTCCCGCGGGCGATGCTCTGGCTCATTGACCCCGCTCCCCTCCGCTTCATAAATCACTCCCACCACAAACATCCACAGCTCAGACTGTCACTGGCATTCATGCACTGTGACATCGGTGGCTCGTTTTGGCCCAGCACGAATTTGCATAAAAACAATCTCTTTCCCTTATAATCTCCTTCTCCATTAAAAAAAAAAAAAATGTGTTAAATACTGAGCAGAGAGGAAGGGGCATTTCTCAAGTCCAGGTATGAGCTGACAGCTAATGAGGCATAGAAACCTGTGCCTGAGACCCAGGTCACCGGCTCCGAGGTGCACGGCGGAGGTGGCCGCTGACCCGACATCGTGTGTCAGTCCGGTTGCAATTTCCCTACATGTTTGCGCCCCGACCCCGGCCGTGTGCGCCGGGGTGGACTTGGACGTGGTCTCTGCAGGGGTCCCTGTCATCTTGCTTTTCCGCCGAGTGTCAAGCTCTTGGTAGCCGCTAGACTGTGTCATTTTCGGGATGGTGCAGAGTCCATGGTCTGAGGACATCACTGGGTGTGCACGCGTCCTCCTTGAGGTGACATCAGGAGCCCCCACTCTCCCCTGGCAGGACGCTGCTGGAGCCAGGAGCCCCCGGCCGACCTGGCGGTACTGTGTCAGCGCCGGGGTCCCTGCCGGGGTTCATACACTGACTGGGTCGGCACCTGCCAGCAGCATGGTAACCGGAGCGGTGCCGTCCCAAGTCTGGCCGGTTCCGTCTTTCTGGTGCACACGGGAACCCGCACTGTGCGGGGCACACCAGGCGCTGCCCTCCGACGCGGCTGGGCTCCGTGCCACAGGGCGGCCCCGGCTCAGACCTCACATCTCACCCAGAGCCAGAGACGCCTCCTTGGCCGTGGCCCCGGGAAGATTTACGGACCCGCAGAGCAGAGGCCGCCTTCACGAAGCCCTGAACCACTTCTGAGGTCTCGGGAGGAGCGCGTGGCGAGTCAGCCTGCCCTCGCGGGCATCGCGGCCGCGGTAGGGACACTGACGGAGACGTATGGGGACGCCCTTTGTGCCGCCGAGAGATGAACACAGAATGAGGACGGGAGCTGGCGGCCCTCCCGGGAGCAGCGAGCGTCGCCTCCGGAAGGGCTCGCACACCACCTCCTGCCCAGGACACGCCACCTCCTGCCGAGGACACGGTCTGGGCGTAGTGCAGCCAGGAAGCCGCGCTGCAGAGACCGGGACGTGGTGACCCATGTTTCTGGGAACGGCTGAGGGATGGTTCTCGGAAGTGCGTCACCTGGGACGGGTCTGTCTCTGACATCCTCTGGATGCCTTCTTGGTGGCGGCTCCCGCCCAGGGCACTGATGGGGGGGCCCTAAGTGAGGGGCCGCACCAGTGCCCACCCTCCTGCTGACCAGAGCGACTGCGCGGCCCGAGGCACGGTCCCCTGGGCTCAGAGGCATCGCCGCTGCCACGGAGACCGTCTTTCTGAGACCCAGTCCGCCTGGTCCCTGTGGCTTCCATCAGCCTCTGACCCTGTGGCGGGAGGGGCCACTGCAGCCGGTTCCAGGGGACAGAGCCAGGGGCAACCATCCCTCCGGAGACCACATTCCCCCGAGGCCCCTGCCCTCCCCGCGCACCCCTTAGGGGCTGGCGGGACAGGGTGTCCCCCGTGAGGACAGGACACCTGTGCTCCTGATGAGAAAGTGGGGGCTGTTGCCCAGGAGAGAAAACTGGGTCTCAGGGAGGCAAACCACAGGCAGCTCCAGCTGTCCAAGGGGTGTGGCAGCACCTGACATCAGTCCCCGCAGACACTCCTGGGACAGGTGAGTAGCCCCACCCCGATGGGACACCTCGGGCCCAGCATCGCCCCACGGACGGGCTCACACCCATCACCAACCTAGCAGCAACCTGGCTGCCCAGCCCTGGACACCTGCTCAAGCCACCTCCCCAGTCAGGGCTGCACGGCCAGCTGGGTCCCACAGACCAGCCCCGGGAAGCAGCCCCACCCACCCAGCTCAGCTGCACCTCGTCCGAGTGATGACGCCCCAGTCATCCGGAGTTTGCTCGAGCTCGTGTCCCCCCAGGTACCTGGTGAGCTTCCAGATAGGGCGGAAGGGCTGCGCCCAGAGAGGCCACCAGGCCACGGAGGGACCCGACTTTCTGACTCAGCAACTTCTGTGGCTTTGGGATGGGCGGGGCCTCGGTTCACTGGCCCCCGATGCCTTTAGACACAGCAGTGCTCCTTTTACTTATTTATTAATCCTCACCCGAGGATACTTTCCATTGATGTTTAGAGAGAGTGGAAGGGATGGAGAGAGAGACACACACACACACATCGACTGGCTGCCACACACACGACCCCAACCAGGGCCGGGGACAAACTGCAACCGAGGTATGTGCCTTTAGCGGGAACCGAACCCGGGACTCTCTGGTCCGCGGGCCGACACTCTGACCACTGAGCCAAACCGGCCAGGGTGTGATGCTTGGTTTAAACAGTCTCCACCCACCACCGCCGTCTCGCGGCTAAAAACCAGTGGGCAAACCCGCCCGGCACAGCCTGGGCTCTGAGCCTGTGCACCCGGGACACCTGTGCTCACGGCCGCACCCTGAGTGAGCGACGGCTTTCTCAGCCGCCTGTGTCCACAGGGACCCGGCCGCCTGTCCTGCAGCTGGGCCCCGAAGAGGACGCCCACCCCGGCCAGAGCCCAGGAGCCAGGGAGGGAAGATCGGACATGGGAGGAGCCCACGGTGAGCAGGGAGGGGCGGGTCCCAGGCAGGGGTCACTGCTCACTTTTTGGGCCTGTAGTCGGGGATGGTCCTGTCCAGGGAGATGCGGTCGCTGAGCTGGGCATTGTAGCCGTAGTCCTCGTAGGTGCCGGCCGTCTCCTGGCCGTCGTCCCGCAGTGTGGCCGCCACGCCACCTTGGCCCAGGCCCCCTGGGCCTTCCACCAGACCCATGGGCTTGGCGAGGCCTGGGGGGAGAAGGGAGGGGTCAGGCAGGTCCCAGGGCCTGGGGTCCTTCCCACCCGGCCCCGCCCTCTCCCAGACGCAGACTCGGATGCCTCACACCAGCAGCGCCCGGCGCAGACAGGGCCGATCGGACGGTGGAAGGATCCGCGGTCGTGGGGGCGCAGGGGTGACCAGGTGGAGTGGGGAGGACTTTCAGGGCAGTGGACACGTGTCTTTACACATTTGTTCAAACCCACAGAAGAAACAACACGGAGTGAGCCCCGAAGTCCACTTGGGGTGATGACGAGGTGTCTGGACACTCAGAGACCCATGTGTGTGGAAGGGGCTATTGGGGACCGCTGGGCATCGTCATTTCATTTTTCTATAAACCTAAAAGTGCTCTCAAGAGTAAAGTCTATTCATTTTTAAAATATAAAGTAAATAAGCCTGGCCGGTGTGGCTCAGTGGTTGAGTGTCGACCCTGCACCAAGAGGTCGCTGGTTCGATTCCCAGTCAGGGCACACGCCCAGGTTGTGGGCCTGATCCCCAGCAGGGAGCACGCAGGAGGCGGCCAGTTGATGTTCTCTCTCATCGATGTTTCCATCTCTCTCTCCCTCTCCCTTCCTCTCTCTAAAAAATCAATAAAGAAAAAAACATTTTTTTAAATGAAGTAAATATAAATTAATGCAAGGCAGGGGGCCCCATACTGACAACCAGATGGTGCCCGGTGCCCGTCTCCGCTCCTCTGCATACAGGCAGGCATTTCGGGGTACAAAGGAGGAGAGAACTGGCGTCTGCGAAAGGCTGGGGGGGTCTCAGAAGGTCCTATTGACCGAGACACCTCCATCCTGTGCGGCTCTGTCCACAGCTCCAAAACCACACAGCTGACCCAGGCTCGGACGACCTTGGGTGACCTTGGGGTCGTGGCCTTGGCTGGAAAGGAGCCCTCGGTCTTCTGGGCGAACAGGCTCTTAAGAGGGCCGGCCGGGGGTTCTGGAACGTTCCACACAGAAATGGTTTGTCAGCTGCCCGCCCAGGGTGGCCCCGACCCCACATTGACGACAACCCAGAAAAAAACGGCAGAGCCGAGATTTCCCGGGCTCCGCCCTCCGCAAGCCCCACCCCCAGGGACGACGTTTTTTCTGGTTTGAGTCCCTTTCCGCGCTTGGTCCGCAGGTCTCTACGGGTCTAGAATAGCTTTGTCAGCAGAGCCGGTTCCCCGGCCTCTCGCGGTGAAGGACACGAGGCTCCGTCTGTCTCACCACCGCCAAATGCACCGCCCTCCCCCGCCTTGTCCTCGTGCTGCTATTATTTTCAGTTGATCTGGGTCACCTCTGTGACCTGTGAAGACACACACAGTTCTGTTCCTGAAGCATCGGCTTCACCTGCTGTCTCCTGACTCCCTTCCCGGCTCCAGGAGACATCAGATCTCCCGGGTGAAGTGTCACGTCTATGTTTTTTCCCGTCACATATATATAAATGCACATGAGTAACCGAGGTCGTCCTGAATCGGGTCCTAACCCAGCGACAGGGGTCTTTATAAGGAGGGAGGGTTGGAGACCCACACCAGGAGGAGAAGCCACGTGGACATGGAGGCAGAGATGGGAGGGACGTGGCCATCGTCTAGGGGCGCCTGGGGCCGCCCCAGAGGGAGCCGGGCCCTGAGGCACCTGGAGCTCAGACTTCTGGCCTCTAGAACCAGAGAGAACGAATGTCCCTTGTTCTGCGGTAGGTTTGTGGTGCTTTGTTCGTGCAACCCCGGGAACCAAGCACCCGGGCCAGCTGCTCACTCCGCCGGCTCAGACGTGACGGGTGCTCACAGATTCTGAGACAACGTGGCGTAGACCGTCCCTCGCACGGGAGTCCACGAGGTTGTCCTCCGAGCAGGTGCACACCGGTTCCGGGGGGGCCCTGGGGTTGTTTTCCTGTTTGAAATCCTGCTTCCTACTCATTTCACCTTTGAATGAGATGTGATTTTCAGAACAATGGGGAATTTGCATAGATTAGCTCAGCCTTTGAAACATCTGTGACAACTTTTCCAACCAGCGCGCAAAAGCCAGAAAAAGCCAGTATCCACCACCGTTCTGGACGGCCCAGAGGTCAGCTGGTCCTGGCAGCTGAGGGTCACCACGGTGACCGTGACCTGTGTTGGACAGGACACCAACGCCCCCTTGGGTGGCCCGACTCATCTCACAGACGGGACCACAGAGGCTCACGGTGGGCATAGCCCAGCCTCTTAGCTGCGTAACATCTCAAAGAAGAATTCAGAGGGGCCAACAAAAGTCACCAACTTGCCACTTTGACATTACATTACATTTGGGATTATATTAAGCACGCTAAGACCGGGAGAGTGTCCTGGGTTATCCGGGAGGGCCCAATGCCAGTGTCCTTAAAAGACAGGGTAGCAGCCCAGCTGGTGTATCTCAGTGGACTGAGCATGTCCCATGGACTGAGAAGTCGGGGTTCGATTCCCGGTCGTGGCACATGCCCAGCTGGCAGGCCCGATCCCCAGTAGGGGGCATGCAGGAGGCGGCCAATCGATGTTTCTCCCTGACATCAATGTTTTCCTCTCTCTCTAAAAAATCAATAAAAACATATTAAAAGAGAGAGAGGGTAGGAGAGAGGGGACACGGACGAGGAGGCCGTGTGACGTGCCCGCGGAGATGGCAGTGACGAGGCCACGTGCGAAGGGAGGAACACGTGGGCTCCCAAAAGCTGTTGGTTGGCTGGTTTTTGCCTTTTATCTGCAGTCCTTCCCGTTCTTCCTGCCTGGGACTAAGGCTCAGAGCTGGGGCTGCAGCAGCCATCCTGTGACCATGAGGCTGAGTGCCCCCCCAGTGGGACGGAGGAGCTTGCAGTCCATCAGGGTGAGGATCCTGAGGACGTCTGGCAGCCGTCTGCATCGCATGTTCCACGAGAAGAAACCACAGCGCGAGAGGCCACGGCAGCCAGGGTTTTGTGGGGACTCTGAATTCTCACCCAGAGAAGCCAGGGGCTGAGTGTTAGGAAGGCCAGGCTGCTCGCCCCGGCCAGCGGCCCCTCCCAGCGACTTGCTGGCAGTGCCCGGGGCACAGCGCTTGGGAGGCAGACAGGGCTGCCAGCGCCCCGGAGCCCTGCCAAGGGCCTCTGCCCCCCAAAGAGTCATCCTCCACGTGGTCAGCCCGCTCCTGCCAGGATACCGGGGGTCTGTGGGCGGCTGTGCTTTCGCAACTTGGAAGGAAGTGTGGTTTTCCAGCTCTGGCTTCCCTTTGCGTCACCGAGTCCCATCTGGCACCGCAACTTAAGCCAATACTCCGAGCAGGGACGCTCGGTGCAGAGGCTGCGGGTCACAAGCTAATCTGAGGGGAACGCGCAGCCTGAAGGCCCCCTCGGGACAGGGGCTCCGCCCCCCAGCAGAGCCGGGCAGCCCACGAGGTGCAGCCCAGCCAAGGATTCTGGCCCGGGACACCCCTGGGGACGCACGGCCTCGGGCAGCCCACAGAGGGCGTCTGTGTCGGCCGGGGTCCGCAGGAAGGCACGTCCGACTCTGAAAGCCACTCAGGAAGTTGGATGTAAAACAACAGTAATACCATCCATTTCTTTAAAGCTATAAATATCTGGCAAGAAATGACTAGGCCGAAAGGAAGAAAAATGGGAACCTAGGAGGATGAGTCCATCATTTGCTTTCTCCCCAGGGAAGGGAGGGCTGTAAATCCTGCAAACTTGACATTTCGGAGGAAGAAAAGGGGAAGGAGTCAGAGGGCCAGCTGCACCCCGCGGGGGGCATGCAGCCTCTGCCCCACCTGGGCGACCGGAGCCTCGGTGGGGGTGTGCGGGTCCCACGGACAGAGCCCCTGGGAGCATCTCCTGGCTGTGCAGGCCTCCGGGGTGCCTTCCTCACATCTCAGATAGCGGGGGGCAGACGAGACAGACTCAGATGGGGCGCCACTGTGGCTGGCGGGTCTTCAGGCCACCTGGAGAGCAAAGTAGCCGTCTGCCTCACACGCCCGAAGTCACCTAGCCAGCTGGACCCCGAGGTTTGCCACCTGCTGGGACCTTGCGGACCTGTGACCTTGGCGGTCAATCCTGAGCAGAGTGTGGGGTGGAGAGAGGGGGTGGACACGGCCTTGAGCAGAGCATCCACCAGCTCACAGCTCCTATCTCTTCGCTCGATAAAAATTCAGGTCACTTTAATGTGCCTGGCTATTAATTTTGATGATCGCGAAGCGGAGATAAAGAGGAGAGACCCCGGTTGCTGCGGCCTTTGAAGATCGTCCCCCTCTCTCTCCGGGTTGCAGCTTTATCCACTCTCCCCAAATACAACAGCTAATTTCATTACCGACAGGTCTTTCAAGATTCCCTGGGGACCCAAACCAATAACATTCTGTCAATAGCGGAGACCGACTACCCTTCTGAAACTACGAAGTCATGAATATTTTGCAGGACACGGCAATACCGGAAAACTATATTCTCACGGAGACTGATACAGTGTTTGATAAATCACACATGATACTACGTCCGACTGATATGAATATTTATGGGGCCGAAGCGTGGAAATAAGGGGTGTCTGAAAACACCGGCAGATGGGTTTCCCGGCTCTTCCTTCCACTTTGTGAAGGGTGTGAGGCGTCCCTTGGCCGCCCCTCCCAGTGATGGGTGCCAACCGGCCCTGGATTCAGGCCTCATCATTGCTGGGGAGCAGAGGCGGGGTGTCCAGCCACCTGGCTCTGAGTCAACCCACACGAGAGGGTCGGATGGTCAGGCCCAGACTCCCCACGCTCACCCCAGCCTCTCAGGGTGGACGACTCAGCGCCTTTGGGCTCCGTTCTCTGCCCAGATCCCAGCAGCAGACTCTCCAGGGAACACTCACCCCACCGCCCTGACCCAGCCCCAGGGGTCACAGACAGGAGGGGACGTGGGACCCCACACTCGGGGATTGGAGCGGGGATGCAGGCTCAGCCCCAGGAGGGGACACGCTGGGTGGCTCTGTCCTGGAGTCCCCACCAGGAGAGAACAGGGCACCCTCAGGCCCCACTCACTGGGC